TAGTATTAGTTGCTATCGAATGAATATTTTTACCGACACGATAATCACGTTATTAACAGTTCTATAATTTATACTGTTCATATATAGAAATAGTTAGACCATTACAATCAACTGTTTACATAATATATTTTAGAGTAAATGGTTGATTAAATAAAAGCTGAACCATAAAAGTATATCAGCGCCTATAATTGTTTCACAAGAAGAGTTTTCGTATAAATATTTTACGCAGATGTTGGCGTTGAATTGCCAAACTTGCCTGTTAGGTGTTAAGTTTTCGATAGTCGCTGTTATTTCATTCGATTTCAAATCGTACTAGACCATATGATGTAACCAACAGTTCACAAAGAGTTTCAGAAAGGCGATGTTCAAACGCGAAATTATACTTTTCATGTTAAAAACCTCGTAAATGCCGCAGGTTGTAAAACTATCAGATTTAAAAGCGAACTGTTCATTGTTCAAGTAGTAGTAACTCCATGGGCGCCAAGCATTGGGGCCGTTCTTATACGTTAATATATCTGAATAATTTAAATTTCGCCTAAGAACATCTCCGTATACGTAGTCTTCAAACAATGCTCCTAGTTCGCCACAACCATTTAATTGAGTGACCGGAAAATCAACAAAGAACATTACATGAAGACAGTATGAATAAAAAATCTCTTAAAACTCTTATATTAGTCAGAATATTACCAAGACATGTGGCTAGCTTAATTAGCTTAAAAGATGGTAATTGCAAAAGCAGTTTCGTCGTGTATTCGTATTGAGTAGAAAGGAGAAGTTGAATACGTGCTACCATTATTTTCGATTCACAATCACGTCACACAGGCATTTTTAATATTCTGTTACAGTTAAACTTTGTTTGTTAATCGTTCGACGATTCATTATTATATCGCTTGCCACAAGTGTCTATGGTTTTAAAGTTACGAAGAAATTACAATATACCTTGTTCTCTTAACTAGGTAAAACAATTTTACATTTACATATGGGTATATAAAATTTAATGAGATTAAATATATTAAACTACAGTTAAGTATAAAATTTGGTTGTGTAATTGTAAAACAAAAATCGACATTTTAATATATTCATTGCAACATACTTAACAATAATGGAGACATACCCAATGGACGTAAGATATTTGATATAATTATTGATCAATAAAAATGTAAGTTTGTATTACTTTCTGGAACCAACCCACTAAACTGATCTACCGAGACATTCTTAGAAAATTGTAATGGTTTGATGTTCTGGTCCTAGATCCTATCCATTGCGTAGTCTCCATTCTATAGATATATTCAAACAACAATAAAACAAGCTAATATTGCAAAGAAAGCGCACCATTATAATAATTTAATTATTATGCATTACGAATGCTAGAACACAATAGCTACAAATCGCAGGTACCAGCAAGCGTTCCTTCTAACAAACTTCAACAATAACGAAATGCATTCCTCACTGTACATTCTCGAACGAGAGGTCTCGCGAAGCGATAGTTTGACTTATCGACAAAACGCGTACTCGACTTTTCTCGCAAAAATATACAGCAGGTATTGAAGCAATTATCTAAAGACATTGAGGAGTTAGGACCTTAGGAGGTTAGCACAGTAAGTATATTTTGCATTATACATAAACACAATGTAAATAGTTCTGTCGATCAGCGTTTTAGTTTACATAACAATGATATGTATCAACCCACCGAAGAAGCATTGGAATGTTATGTAGAAATGATAAATGACCAAAGACACGAATTAATTTTATAAATATACAAAAATAACCTCGAAGCCTTGCTGAATCCGTCATTTAGGAATGGTATCTCCATTTTAGCTTTCCAATTGTTTCTATTTATCGTGGGTTAAATAATTGGTGAAGTAAATTTGTATTTGAACTGGTAAACTATACTAAACATTAATAGAAATATCAGAAAATTATAAAAAAGTAAAACTTATTTCCTATAGTAAAAATACTTTTTAAATATCAATTGTGACGAAGCTTACATAGAAAAGATACGAAAAATCTCTCGCTTCAAAACCTTCAGTAGGTCCATACTTTTAACCTATCTAAAGTTGATTCAAAAACACACAGCCGCGTTATTTTATTACCAAAAATTTCCTATACTTTATGTATAAACCGTACAACGTCAATATTAAATTTTACATACAGTATTATATATTTTTCTACTCGTGCTACGCGATCCAGACATACATAAATAAATAGCCTAATCACATCTAAGACAGTATAAGCATATTACACATACCCAAACACCAATTTCCCACATTCATTATAACTAACTATGAATCACATTTTATAAATCGCTTATAGATACTTAAAAAATTTCGTTCGATATATTTTCTTAATAAAAAAAAGTTTTGTTAACCTAACACCTACTGCCAACTATGACGTCACGATTAAGCTATCGTGCATTATCAATAAATTTTGGCAATCATTAGCAAAGGTTCTAGCGCAGATGACGTCACAGAGCGAGCAGTCAGAATTACCACTAAACCGTTAGTCTCAAAAAGAAATAATACATTTTATTTATTTAAAAATTTCCAAAACTTTAATATTAATTAATTTAAAGCGAAGTATTTAAGAGTATATATGTATAAGATTACGTTGTGTGAACGATATACATTAGTCGAATGATAATTTGAATTTTGCCTTTCATTTTGTTGGTTGTGATAAATTAATTCCGGCACTTTTTTATTATTGTCGATTCCAGGAAAATTTAAATATAGAACCCTGGAGTACCTGTTTACCGGGTGTAAATAATCCTCTTACGAAATCGATTTTATGCTTATAACATCCTACAGGATTTCATAGGAAGTTACAAAAATATTTTTGTTATTTTTTATTTCTTTCAGAGTTTATTTTATGAATTTATACTTCGAACCATATCAGCATTAGATTTTCTATCTAAAAACATTAGATTAGAATATTAGATTTAGACGGAATAAAAGAGATATTTTGTGTACAAAAAATACATAAGCAAATTTTGGCAGTCTCATCCGATTATTGAGAGGAGGATTATGATTGATGAGAAAGAAGTTAAAAAAGAAGTCCTAAATCATTCGAAAAATAAGGTGTCAAATTTATTACGCCACAAAATGTGAAAACTTTATTAATTATATTTCACTAGCTTCGATGCGCCCACAAGCTGTGGTTCCTCAACATCGAAGTCTTAAGAAAAGGTCGCTGGATAGTTTGTGACAATTTTTGTGGATTTTTAATTAGATTCCGACATGAAATGAGAGGAAGACTGTTGTTGGCCCCGGATTTAAATCCTTGTTTGCAAGCAGCCGGTAATCAGTACTTTGAAATATTTTAACGTTCACCCAACGGTAGAAATACTTAGATGCTATGTACGGCAGTTACGAGCCAGTTGTTTAATGCTGAGTAGTCACCTCGAGATTTAAGCTATTATATACAGTAGCATATAGATGCATGTAGGAAACTGAAAAATTAATGATTTCAAGGGAGATTTCAAGTATTTGTTTAAAATACTTGCATCAATAGAATCAATTTTCAACTTTTGTAATGATTTGGTTATATGAGTTTATTAAGTGAATCAATAAGTTTTTACACGTAGTGACACGTTTGACGTCCAAGAGTAATGGTGAGGCATCAAAAGAAGAACAATAAGTGAATACTCAGCATCATTTATCAGATAGAATACTAGCTACTTTGTGCATATATAAATGCGTGCTACAATAAACTAAAAATCTCTTTAACATAGGTTTACTTGAATTTCGTTATCAACAACAATGAAAATATATTCGATACAGTCGGAATACATTTTATTATATAATCAATATTAATTCTTATGAATGTCCTATAAATATTTAATACAGTTTAAACACCCTTACAGGCACCTCACATCAATGAAAAGTACACGCCTGTACAAATACTGTTACAATTGTCAAAAAGTAATAAGCAGTAAACTATTTAAAACTAAAGAATACAAAACGGAATGAGAAACTTTAATATGCAATATATTATTATCTTACAACTAAATAAACTTAAATACGCATAACATTTCCTATCAGGAATAGTACCCCAAGTGTTCAGCTGATGCGCCACTAAAGATAACCTGTTAAAGTCCAGAAACGGAGACTTCGCTTGTAAAATTCTTATTTTAGAGACATAAAAATTCGTCAGATATTTAATTTAAGCTGAATATTTAGCGAATAACCTACACTTGGGGTTATTAAGATAATCAGGTAACGTGACGCACTTGCTAACTTAAAATTAATGTTGTGCAGGGCGCCGGCGTCGGTGGGATTATTTGCCGAACATCCCGATCCAATAAATAATATGTCACGTATCGAAATGCAAAAAACGCGTGGACGCACTTCACTTGTAACAGAGCCATCTAACGGAGGTACATCTAAACATTAAACATTCAATTTAAACTAGAGAAATTTGTTAGTATGAAATATTTCAAATGCAGTGTTATATTTTATGCGTCTACGCGTTTTCTTAATGATGGCACAATCATCAATTCGGCTCTTTAACATTCATTATATAAAAACATATTTAGTCAAATCGCATCCTCAAAGTTCAATAAAAATACTCGAATGAATTTTGATGTTTTTAAATCAATCGTCTATTTATAACTAGGTATCAAAGGTCTTAAACTAACATGCAGATCGAATGTTAACAAATTACTTGTATATTTTATTTAATGATACCGACAAATTAATTTTGTCCTCTGTCAGTATATTTTATAAAGGAACACACCGTCCATCGTTAAAGAGCCTTTTGACAAACTTATCAAGCTACATACAATCAAACAAACCAAAACAGAAGGCCGGAAGAGATTAAACTTTAATAAAACCTTAAAGTAAAGTTGACTCAGCTACGGTGTAGCGACGTTTCTTTGGCTTGCGATTTGTACGATCCAACCCAATATTTTATTTTGCAAACCCAGCCGTCAGGAGTGAGACCAGTTTCGGATGCCGCTTGCTTCTGCTGGTTCGCTTTTTGGGAGTGGATTTCTTCGCCTCGGGCTACGCGTGTCGCTTGGCGTGCAGCGCTAAATGGTCAGAGCGAGAGAAGCACCGCTCACACTGGTGACAGCGGAAAGGCTTCGCGCCAGTATGCTTGCGGTAATGCCTGGTCAGTTCATCTGAGCGTGCGAACCGCCACTCGCAACCTTCCCAGGAACACTTGTATGGCTTCTCGCCTGGAATTGTTAATACTGTTAATATACGTGTTCAATCTTTCCGTCCATCTATATTTACAAAAATCACTTCATTATAGGAAACTCTACAATCGACAAGAATTTATATCCAAAAAATTACAACACGAAATAAAGAAAGAAAAATAACTAGAAATAACAGGCAAAAGAATTTAAATAGAATTAATTTACAAAGATGAAAAGCTACAGGCGCTGTCAAACCTTAGAAGTATAAATAATATTTCCAACTTTTTAGATGATTTTAAAAGGAATTAAGGCACATGTTCTTTTTAAAAAACACCATACTACTCACAGAGTAGAAATATATTATTGTTGATTGTCGTCGCAAAAAGAGTCACAAAAGTTATCGTCAGTTATAAAAATAGACAGGACATAAAAAAACTGTTATCCTGCTAAGTTGAAGCCATCAAAACTCCTGCAGTTTATGATGTTACCAAGATATTTACCTGTATGCGTCCTTTTATGGGCCTTTAGATGCGAACTCTTTGTATAAACCTTGTCGCAAGCTGGAAACTCGCAGCGGTGAACGCGCCTGCGTGGATCAGTCCCATGAGCGTGGGAGTTGTGACGTGGGGGGTGCCTACGCGCAGGGGCAGGACTGGGAGGCTCATCTGGAATTGTGATCATATTGAAACGTCAAACATTTTATAATGCGTGATGCGTCAAGGAAAGAAAAAAATCTTAGATACCTTCCCGACTTAGAGCGCCTTGAATTCCCCTGCTCGCCCATGAATATTATAAATAACTAGCTGACCCGGCAAACGTCGTTTTGCCATGTATATTATTTCTAGGAAACATGATTTTACTTCAATAAAAATAACTATCTACTATAATAAAAAATAGGGGTTGATCGTAGAGGGGTGAAAATTAGGGGTTGTATGTATTTTTATATGTTGTATCATAAAAAAATAAAAGGAATATTTTTTATAAAAAACATATTTTGGTTTTGGGGTGGATACTAGGGCATCGAGCCCGGGTTTACCCGGACCGAAAAAACCCGGGTTTTCCCGGTTCTGAGGATTACAAAAAAACCCGGGTTTAATTTTTAAAACTCGGGTTTTTCGGGTTTTTTTTAATACTTTTGTTATTGTTATTTATTTAGTTTAAGCCACTTCGAATGCAATAATAAGTAAATGGAATAAAAAGACGCTTTGATAAATTGTTCTTTATTACGTAAAAAGTAGCTTCGTTGCTACGTTCCTACCAATAAAACAAGCCTTGCAAGTTAAAGTCGCGTTTCGCGCGTCCATCTCAAGACATGAATAGAGTGGCGAAGGATCTGGCTAGTGCGAGCGCTGGGTTCTACACCATCAACGCGTTCGGACACACAACATCTCGACAAATGGGTGAGGAGGCGATGGGGCCGCCTCAGCTACCGACTCGTGCAGATACTGTCCGGACATGGCTGTTTCGGCAGCTAGTTGCACAAGGTAGTCGGGCGTGAGGAGGCACCAACCTGCCACCATTGCGACGCTGGCGTTGTTGATGACGCGCTCCACACCTTAAAGGATTGCCTAGCATGGGAGGTGGAAAGGAGGCCTCTACTGGGCGTGCTACAGGGCGAGGACGCTACTCTCGATAACATTGTGAGAGTAGCAGTTACAAGCTCGGACAGTGACGGCATGTGGGAAATCTTCCAGAGATTCTGTGAAGCCGTGATGCACCATAAGGAAGAGGCGGAGAGGGCCAGGGAGAAGGATCCTGCAGCCCACCCGCGTCGCCGTAGGAGACCACAGCGTCGCCATTGCACCGTGCAACCCTGTGTGTAATCCTGGGCATGCAGTTGCTCCAGCGGGGGAACAGGGGCTCATGCGTCCAAAAGAAGGGATGCTAACGCATCCCTGCAAGCATTGTACCCGGGCTCCCCCAGCTCTATAAAACAGGATGAATTGGCCGATGTGAAAGGCCCTTGCTGTGCCAAGGTCCATTCCACATCATTCGTGGCCGTAGAGGACCGTAATATTAACGGTTGATCGCGTGGCTGGATGCGGACAAGGCTACGATGTTACCGTGTCCTGCCCCGGGCGATTGCTGGTGGCGCCGTGGGGTTTTAGTGGGTATGCACAACAGCGAGTCCCACATCACCCTTCCCCAGGTCAACCATGCCGCGGGAGGGTATGCGTAACGCATTTCCCCACGGGAAAAAAAAAGAAAAAAAAAAGACATGAATAGAGTGAAGTGTGGAGCAGTGGAGAGGGGAGGGTGTAGCGAAGCTCTTTGCGCGTTGTGCGGGGTGTTGCCGGTGATGATTTTTTTTTAAATAAAAGCTTTAATGGATTTAAAAACAGATATTGTATTACTGATGATGACTGGAGAAATAAAGATGAGATCCAAAAATATTGGATGTTATTAAAACTGTCGTCGAGGCGCTATGTCGACGCGATGCAACATTACTTACAGCTGATGTTTCCCTAAAATTTGCATTGACAAAAATGGATGAAATGAAGACACCACTAAGTAACAAAATGGCAACTGCATTTGGCAAACGATACCCAAAAAAAAAACTAACTCAAGCAGCCACACTACAGTACCTACTTGACAAATCCGGGTAAATATTTTGAGAACATTCAAAATGAAGATAAAACTGTTTTTATCGGCCTACAGGACCAAGACCTACTAGAAATTGACATTCAGTTGTCTACTTTGTCAAATGAAGAGGAACTGAACAGACAGTTAAGTCAAGCTGTTGCTACTGATAAGAATGCTCCTGAAACTGGATCAGCTTGTCCATCAGACGATTTGCTTACCTACTACTGTGAGGGTAGAAATAGCACTCTTCGAGAATGGCGGTACGCGACGGCGAGAGCGTTCCTCTCTTTTTTTCTAAAGTGGTCAGATGGTCAGAGGTTATGTCATAAATAATGTGTCAAATGCATAACTACTTTTTACTTAGTATTTTAGGTAATTATATAAAGACCTAATTATTAAGAAAACGACTGCAATTTAAATTATAGTAGAATAGAAGACTAGAATTATTCGTTACTTAATTGTTAATGCGAAGAAGAGCTTTATTAATATTAAAATTAATTGTGATACTACAAAAATGTCTTTTGAAGATTTTATTTTTATTAGCTTATAAATACAATAAGTGAATGTTTCCAAAATAATTCATTTAATGTTAAAACTAATCTCTGCAAGTCTGTGATTTAAAAATACTAGATTACTTACTAAGTTTTAAGATATTCTGAAGAAAAAAATAAATCTTTATCACTTTTTTAAACATTAAAACTGTTTTTGTAATTTGTAAAGTACTGTTTCATTTATTTAAATTCTTCCTCATCCTTTATATTTTGTATTCATTCTAGGAAATCTATATATAAACGCAGATTAGTGAATTAAAAAAAAAATCAATAAAAAGACCGAAATGCTCGAAAAAACCGGGTACCCGGGTTTTGATTACTCTTAGACCCGAAAACCCGGGTTTTCAAAATTGGACCGAGTTTCGATGCCCTAGTGGATACCCCTTGTCACTTAGGGGTTTTTTTTTTTTTTTTTTTTTAAGGACAATTCACACCAATTGACCTAGTCCTATGCTAAGCTGGTGAAGCTTGTGTTATGGGTACTAGGCAACGGATATACATACATATTATAGATAGATAGACATATAAATAAATATTTAAACACCCAAGACCTAAGCACAACACCAAATGCTCATCACATCGATGTTCGTCTCAGCCGGGGAGAAAGATAGATAGTTGCCGATTCTCAGATATACTGAATATGCATAAAAAATTTCATAAGAATCGGTCGAGCCGTTTCGGAGGAGTATGGGAACGAACATTGTGACACGAGAATTGTATATATATAGAGATAATATTACCGGGGCGATCACGCGACAGGCGTAATACGAATGTCTCATATTTTATTTTATGCATCTTTTAAGTAATAATATAAGAGATGGAAAACAGTCCCTGGACACAATGGCAGGGGAGTAGATTAAGAAAAAAAAAGTATTCTTGTAGGCTCCCGTAAGGCTACCGGCATTACACGTGTCCCTAGACGGCGGTTAGCACATAATACTAAGCGAACTTTGCAACTTTTGCCCCTGTTTCACAAAAACTTTCTCTGTCTGGGAACTTTACATTGAAAATGTTGCCAACTCTTATAATACCACAAAAGGTGAGAAATAAATGTAAAAACAAATACGAATCGATCTCGGGAGTTCTCCGTTTGCGCTCGCTCTTATCGTACACAATTAAATTTTAAGTACACATTTAGTTCCGATCTAAATATGGGAGAAATCTAATCGTTTGTTATTGAATGAAAATCTTATTGAATCATTTAAGAAGTTCATGTGGTACAGTTTGAACGAACTGTTATCGCATTATAGAATCTAAAACTAATTAATACAGCTATGATTAGCTTGAACAGTGTTTTCTGTGGTTTCTTATTACTGGGGACGGAATGATCGTGGAACAGATACAGAAATCTGAGGCCCAGCTAAAAGGTTGTAGCGCCATTGGTTTTTATGGAATTAGCTTGACGCTTTTAACGTTGTATACACGCTCTAATAAATATATTTCCGAAGATATTAGCCTAAGGGAGATTGAGACGAAATGAGACCTAGCGAGAACAACACAATCTGAGTCTCGTATCTTAACCCAAGTCAGCTGGTCTATACCGATAAAAGAAAGAAGACAATTTTTACAATTCTTGTCTGTGAGGAATGATATATTATTTTATAATATTTTAAAAATATTTTAAAAACTCCAGTAATAAACTAGGGACAAGCCACTAACTTATAATATAGGCGGTTCAGTTAGTTTCTGCTTCATGCGAACAACTAAATAGTTCATGATGACAACGACTAATTATCGGTGAAACTATGTCGGCATTGACATCGGATATTGATAGCAAATTGTCTGTAATGAAGTGCCAGAGACTGGAGTAATACGTCAATCATCGTACTGTGTCGGATTGTAATCGGCAAGTATATTATTTAACTATAATAATATTAAACTAAATATTAGTAATCTGTTCAAAGCCAAAAATATTTTTTTCACGTAAGTAGTTTTTGTACACTTATGAAAGTTAGAGAAAACTATCTACAGTTATAGCCAGTTCTCAGATCAAGCGTAGAAGGGACGAGAAGAAGACTAAAAACTTTTAATCACCAAAAAAAATGATTAGTTACGGGATTCTTCAATCTAAAATCGTGAGTTTTAATTCCAGCTACAGTTTCTTTCCATTTGGGCTCGTAACACTTATTCGTATAGTCAAGAAAAGTTTAAAATCTATCAAATGTGACACAAGACTGATCACTTACTTGTCTATTAAAGAAAAAATATCAAAGTAACCTGCAATCTGAGGCCAAGGCCTAAATAGGGTTTAAAACCACAGCATTATTATTAATACTAGTAAAACTTGGTACAAATAAAACATGCAAGCATGCATCCTTACCTCTCGGCTCGTCCGAGTCACTTAGAGGCTCTGTTTTGACTGCGGACACAGTGAAGAGCCCCGGAGAGATGGGTGATAAGGGGAGGCTGGCGACGCCGACGGGGTCAGGGGAAGTGTGGTAGTCGAAACTCCCCAGTCTTCAGCGTCTTGGTAAAGCGCACCGCGCTTTCCCCGTGGCTCCTCGCGGAGGTAACGTTCCATTTCGTACATTGACTGAAACGTATAATCAATAATATAATCAAGTATTCAAGCATTTGTACAAAGAATGAAGATATTTTAACACCTTAATCTTAAAAGACACTACAGGAGTTAGTATTGTCTTTTATTGACATAACCTTTACACATTTAAAGAAAAAACTTTTTAACCTGATTAAAGTTATGTATTATTATAAATTTACAATTATTTAACATAATTTTAAATTTAACCGACGTTTCGCGTGCGTGGTCACGGTGTCCTATAAGCCATTTCTGCCAAAACCCTCCATCTTTTAGTCGATACCAACTCCGGGGAAATAAATACAGATAATGCAGCTTTTTCTACAGCTGTGATACTTTTTTGACATCCAATACCTTTTGTCTTCTGTCACCGTGACCACGCACGCTGTAAAGCACGCGAAACGTCGGTTAAATTTAAAATTATGTGAAATAAATATTGTAAATTTATAATAATACATAACTTTAATCCGGTTAAAAAGTTTTTTCTTTAAACTAAAGGAGTTGTTTGTATGATTCAGAGTCTAGACTTAAGTTATCAAAATCTGAATATCATTTATTCATGTAGAATTATGAACGTCAGTATGATTCCTATATGTCAAACTTTTTGAATTTTGATATACGGAAGTCATAGCGAAGTCTAGACTCTGAAGCCAAGGGTAAGAGTAATGGGTTATTTAGCCATTTAGATTATAAAAAAAAATAATATCGCCAGTGATTTAATAGAAAATGTTGTGCACAATGCTCGCATTATATTTAAATACAGGCTTACGTTCTATATTATACATTCAACCATTTTGAAGTCATGTCCAATATTTACATAAAAAATAAAGCTCAGTTTATAAAGAATCGTCTTTTGGTAATTGAGGTTTATAGGGTTCAACGACCTAAGCCAAGGTTACAAGGTGTAGGGCATATTGTATCGAAACGTAACGGGATTTAAGACCTACGTTAGAACAGATCCTCTCCTTGTACGAATAAGGCTTAAATTTCCATAACAAGGACACGCGGTACTTAAATGAAAGTTTGTGATCAAGATGCTCGCTTCATATTAATAAAATGTTCCTATACAACTGATCAACAAGCTAGGTTTATGAATATATAATTTTAATATCTTTGAATTTATTTGTTCATCATTGAAGTGTGAAAAGAAAGAAAAAATTAAGTAAGTCAAAAATTTTATGACCCAGGTCCAAAAATAAGCACACAAAAAATTACTTACTGTATTCTTTTCATAACAATTATCACTTTATCAAACCTTTTTAACAACTTCAAAAAAGGAAGAAGTAATTGTTATCTGATTACTGGAATATGCCTGTTGTCGCAGCTCTCGTCATAAGGATCTATCAGAATTTTGTTATTTTATAAGCATACTTAAAACGTTCCTTTTATAGATTTTTGGTTGAAAATATGTAGAATCGAATAGCGCAATGGAAAATAAACGATACATTTTTCTATCGAAAAAGTGCTTCATGGCCGTATTGGAAAATAAACGGAAGCACGTTCGAATAGAATACGAATACAAATTGTAGGGAACAAATACTGAAGACCAGATGGCCAACGTAAATACAATACATATTTTTGTGCATTTTGGAATTGATTGGACCTCTAAGGTATAGGTAGGTAGGTATATTAAAAATCGTGCTTAAATTTGGCTGTGTAACGCCCTTGTTGTTAAATTTATATATCATCTACATGATACAATTGTTATTGTTCATATGTATGTTTTGTTATTTATAAAAAGCAACTTACATTTGATATTATTTCGTGAGCGCTAAATGTACGTGAAGTGATGTACTTTAGTGTTTTCATAGTCATTTACTAAAACCACCAATTGATTTAGTTGATTACGTTGTAAACGTTTTCGACAGATATTAAGGTACTAAAAATATATATTACAATCTAATTTATAAGATAACTAGCGACTTTTTGACTGATTTTGACAAACGCATATATTTTTTTATCCAGACTTGACTACTTGCCAAAGCCTTAGGATATTCGGCGATAATAAATAATCTTATCAACTCAATACATTTAATTCACATTTTAATGTTAGACGGATTAATATAATATATAATTGTGCATTTGAACTTGTCTTTTTCTAAGGATATTGCCATGAAACGCACAGTTATCAACGATTATACTTTAATTTCATATCTTTAATAAATATATATCGTGTAATTTATTTTAACCCCTAAAAATGACTGTAAAAAGCACACATTGATGGCACTCATAGAAAAAACCTTTAAGATTAATTATGATCGTATTAACATGAGATCCTATCTCCAGCCGGTTTTTAATAATAATATTATATAGTCGATGTCACCGTTAAAGCTGGTCGCATCGTTTCGGTCAGCGCGCAACTAGTATGGGCTATATTCCCATAGGTGTTTATTGCGTTAGAAACCACATCTCCCATGCGTATGGCCATCCTACATAGCTTACATCTTCCGGCGCGTGAAAGCAGACTTTCGCATTTTCTCGCTTCCAAGAAAATACATCCGTACAAGATTTTTATAAATCTACAAGTATTACACACCGCACTGACATATTCTATGAGTATTTCTTGTTCTAATATCATTGCTATGTAATTTTTAACAGGATTTTAAATTTAAATGTTGATAACTTTGACCTTGATAATATTTCAATAAAACACACTTTACTCCTGGGTTAGATGCACTTACATACAGACACTCAGTCCATACATGTTTTGTATTTAAATAATTATATATGTTTTCGAACCGACAAATATAACGGTTAATCTTATAAATTACGAACAGTCAGTTTCCAATATACGTGCTGAAGCAGAGCACAGTAAAGTTCAAAGCATATTAGCACAACTTACTCAAACATTGTCTTAATTAAAACTGAAATACTTAAGCCAATTTAAGTTTTAATTAGTGTTTCATTTAATATTCATTAACAATTCGACAAGTCGTACCGCCACTGTTAGTTGTAACTAATGCAACGACAACGGTAACGAGTCGTAGACCTTTATCGTATACGTCTCTTAACAATTACGGCTGGTTTTTTAATGTAAAACCCGTTAAGGTGATACGAATGAAACAATCCATAAGAGATTTGCTGTTGCCTAAAACAAACAGCTCTTATTTAGGCTCACCTATTCCGTCTGCATACAATCATATGAACGAATATACATACAATGAACAATGATCTCGATATATGAAAAACTAAATTTGCTTGCTAAAGTCTTAAAGGAATATTTAAATGATTGCAGTGCATGGCACTTATGCTAAATTTGGCCACTGCTTGGAAATAGGTTACACATAATTATAATAATTTAAGAAAATTAAACCCAGTGTTTCTTCGCTTATTGTTTTCAGTTCAAAGCGCGTTCTCATTGTTACAAGAATGCTTGAATACAAGCGAGCATGGTAACGATTTTACGTGAAACAACTTCTTTCAATTTTGTAATTGTGTGTGTGTGAGGTTAGGGAATAAAAGATAAGTACGGACCGTGAATGTCGTGTATTTGACATTGTGGATTATAAATTTCTTTCTTATGGAGTTATATTTCGTATTTGTTATTTTTTGGTAACTTTATCTTTTCTATTAATTTAGGTTCTTTTTTAATTAATTTAGGGTGTTTGGAAATTTTTGATCATCATTTATTTTTTTACTTTGGGAAACGCCTTCAAATAAGGTGTAATATCTGGTAATAGAAAAAAAATTATGTGGTAATTTTCACCTCATAAATATATTTTTTTCCTATTTTTTTAGGATTTTTGGATTATCCTTTCAAAGGTTTGGTAGGATAATCCAAAATTCCTCCTGGCTAGTCAATTTTTAATTTTACGCTATTTATTTGATGTTCTTTTTACAATTTTAGTCATTTGTTTATAGAACATAAATAACTCATATAATGTGTTATTGTTATTTTTTAATTCTTTCGTTGAGTTTGAAAATTTAAACATAGGTACTTTCACTATAGAAAGATAAGAAAGACTAATCAAAATCTAACGTTGAAAAAAAGTTTTTCTCTAAGATTAAACAAATTATTTTTTATTAAATGCATTTGGTCCACGCGACTGTAACTTCTAATGAATATATAATTTGTGTTACTGTGTGTGTTTACCAGCAATGGTGATTCTTATTATAATAAAGACTTATATTTCTAAAAATCTCTACCTAATTGTTGCCAATGCAATATTATGAAAATCTCGGTACTAGTATAGGAAAAAACGAATACACTTTTCAAGATCATTATCAATGGTTATACAGCCCCTTGTGGGCCTAAGCCTCCTCAATTACACTTCGCCATCGAAATCTACCTAGTGCTTCCCGCGTCCGATTGCGAACCCCTATTGTGTGTCGTTGACAACTCCATCCCACCAACGCATCTTAGGTCTACCGGGTTTTCTTTTGCCACCGGGTTGTGAGTTTAGTAAGGACCTTTGGGTTCTGTCGTTCGCCATTCGGTGCACATGTCCCAGCCACTTGAGCCTGTTGCTTTTTATGAATTGGACGATGTTGGCGTCGTCTAGGATGTCATAAAGTTCTTCTTTGTAGCGGATACGCCAAACACACTTTTCAAGATAGTAATTATAAATTGTGAACGCTAAAACAGAAAATATAACTGTAGGTTAACCGAAAGTCTCGTGAGTTAATCCTGTGCCAGATGCAGCAAATCTTCCGCAGTCGCAATACCCGTCCACTCCTTAACATTACGAACCCAAGATTTTTTCATTGTACTAACACGCTTTCCATCCACCCTGTTTACTCATTATAATTATATGAAGGAGGTGGTAGCGGTCATGGTGCAACACGTGGCCCAGGTGGGTACGCAACTTTCTCTTGTTTCTGCATAAGTATTTATTTGACATTTCCATTAAGAACTGTCTCATTAGAGACCTTCTGAATCCAGCCTATACGAAGCATGCGACGATAACACCACATCTCAAATGCTTATCGCCGGCGGGTATCTTCTTTTATTGACCAAGTTTCACAGCCGTACAGAATAATTGGCCATATGTAACAAAGGAGAACTCGGACTAAGAAGGTAAGTGACGACAACATAAAACTTTCTTAATTTTCATAAAAGATCCTCTCAATTCGAGACCTTACTTCCTGATCAGTTCTCGTTTGTATACCAAGTTCCCAAATACTTGTATTACCGCATTCTAACGTCTTTCCTACAGCTACAGGTACATTGGGGTTTAAAGTGTAGTTCCGATAACCTTCTTTATTGCATTGATAGTCAGATTGTCCCTTTCGCTAGTTTATGGTAGATAGAGTTATCAACAAGCATTTAAGGCTAATATTAAGCAACATCCCAACCAGAAGTTGTTGAAGCTTTGGCAGTTCGATCGGAAATAGATTTAAAGCTTTGTGTATAGAACAAAAGCTCGAGTGTGAAAATGTTTGCGATTTGCGGCAAAGCAATTTTCGTTACGTCGCTTTGATGTCAAAGCGTTGATTGGTCTATTTCAGTTATACCGGCTTTTGCAAAACGCAGTTGGGAAATAGGTTTTTCAAATGTCAAAGGTATCTCAGTTATTTGGCCCATTTTTTTAAACAACAGAAATGATTTACAAACAGATCAAGAAAAACATAGGCTTTTTCAGATGTTATAAGTAAAAAGCAAACACTATAAGGTACCTCTTCATTGCACGAAAATACGTAAAAAAAGTTCTCTTTTACTTAAGAGTCCATTTATAACCGATGATGATCTATTTAGACTTCAAAGCACGCGTGCTAATTTTCATATGAATGTGTTTATCCATAAATACCTACCTTATATTTATATCAGGTATATCCCAACATAAGGAACATTTTATCAAATAGGTTTAGTATGTGAAGTCAGTTATTTTTTAAATTATTAACTTGTAGAAGAATTCTAAACACTCTCGAAATCGTTCAGCATGCCCATAGCCTTCTCTAACAATTTCAATATCTGTTAGAACATAATTTAAAGGAACGGAGTTGTTCAGATTTAAATGATCGTGCTTCTAAGCACTTCTCTAGAACAACTTGTTTAAAATCGTTGGATAAAATGAATAACAAACCGCAAAATGAAGTGAGCGTCACTGTATGAAAGCCTACATGCAAGTCGACGATTTAACATAAGTTTGAATTATTCAAATGCAGTATAATTCCATTCCGCACTATCCCAGCCATTAACCTATTTCTGTTCTCGCCATACATTCGAGAGAAATGAATTAAGTACTACAAACTGATGTTCGCTATTACGTTATATTCCAACCACTTTTGGATAAAGTCCTGGATTTTTGACATTTTCCTGATTCTTATAAAAAGCAGCAGTTTGTTTTCTCATGAATAAAAGCTATGAGTTATTACATCTTCTGCTTTTATACTTTCCTTTATATTTCTAATATGTTTGGCATATGGGTTTGATTGCCAGTTAGAATGCAGATTAAATTTGTAATTTATTTTCGCTTCTGGTGTATTGTAGAATTATTATATATTAAGTATGCTGTCCAAGCTCTCACATTGGTGATTCAGTTGTGTTTACTATCATAACAAGACGGAATTGTTGCTACTAGTAACATATATGAATTGTGATCTGAAATGAATAAATGTTTATATTTAGCCCCCACATATACGACAGAATGTCTAAAGCAAGTGGTTTGCTGTAGAAAAGCCTGTCTGTAGAGGACTGTCACGTGCACACCGCTATTGTTTACTTACCCAAGCGTCTAATTTGATTTTATCGTGTAGTTACTGCATTAAATAAATAACTAATTCTCATTTGTCTCTCCTTTCAGAAGAACACGAGCTAAGTCAAGTCACTTTGAATTCAAGTTTCCTTTAGTTTTCATAATTTATGAATCGATTTTTTGTCTCTTCGTATTTTTGTTTGCCTATGAGTGCTTGTCGAATGAAATCCTGTATTTTGTTTTTCTTCAGTAACAATGTATCAGTGTGCCGATTGGCGATTTGTAAATAAATTAATTCTCAATGAGAAGTGGTTATCAAGCGCACCTTGCAACCCGTTAAAGGAACACTGCACTAGACTACATAACAGGACACTGGAACTGGTTCCGAGGAATGGTTTAATTAATAACTAGATTCGATTTTGTTTATCTTATTAATGTTTCAAGGCCGACTCAGCCGATCTCTATTGAGACTAGTCCTGTGCACTGGAGATATTATAGCGTAGAAATGTGTGGGTACGAATGTATATTCACAAAAGCCATTATTCCATAACTCTCATACTACAATAGGACGGCTGTCCGATCGCTTCGAGACGTAGCAATAAAATTGTTGCTTGGAAAAATCGAACATATTTTTAATTTTCGTTTCTACACTGGAATCCGACTCGAGGCGAAGAACATGTTTAATAATTGTGACGATACAAATGCCAACCCCTACTTGACGTGATTTAAACGTTACGCTAAAACCCATGTCCCAACCTCTGTATATAATAATAATATAACCTTAAAATTCCAAAACCTTGTGATTTTGTTTATATGAACTTTAATATATTTTCACTCCAGTATATCTCGGAGTTCGGTGTGCCTCTTGGCAAAGGCCTCCTCAAACCCTTTCCACTGTTCTCTATCTTTTGCGACTCTTCTCCAGTTGTAGCCTGCTGTTAGT